GAAGATTTGTTTTTAGGAGTTATCTTATTTACTTCTGCCATTACCATGGTCTCAAAAGATACCATTTCATCCGAAATCATCTGTTTTGGGTAAAAGGATGACTTGTTTCTAAGCTCTGTTTTTTTAAAGATGTTATCTGTCTTGTCTTTCTATAGGTTTGTTTTTTTTTTTAAGAATTTTTTTAAACATAAATATGTTTTAAATCTGTTCAGGTCTATATACATATCAAAGTGATTGAAATTTTTACAGAAAGGGTCTGCAAAGAGCAGGAAGGGGCAGCAAGGAGAAAGAAGTGGCAGCCAGGAGCCGGAAGGGGCAGAAAGAATCAGAAGGAGCACAAAGGTAAAGTAGGAGAAGGAACAGAAAGGGTCTACATGGAACCGAAAGGGTCAACAATTATCTGGAAGGGGCAGAAGGAGGACAAAGGTAAAGTAGGAGAAGGAACAGAACTGAGCAGCAAGGAGCAGGAAGGGTCTGCAAGAAGCAGGAGGGCGCAGAAAGGGGCAGCAAGGAGCAGAAAGGGATCAGAAAGGGAAAGGAGCATAAGGGCGCAAAATAGGCAGAAAGGTGAAGGAGCAGAAGGTGCCAAGGAGGAGAGAAGACCGTGTCAGAAGAAAAAGAAGACTTTGTCAAATGAAGGAGAAGAAAATGAGATTGGAGCAGGAAGGACAAGTGAAGTGATCCCTCCACTCAGTGGCGTACACACAAACCATGGGGCCCCAGTGCAAAAATGATCCGTGGGCCCCCCTCCACTCCCTATTCCCTCCCGACAGACACACACACATACATACGTAGAGACACACACACACACACAGACACATACAGACAGACACATACATACAAGCAGACAGGCACACATATATACATACAGACACATACATACAGACCGCCACACAGATCGACACACAGACAGACACACACACAGACAGACACACACACACACACGACACACATACATACAAAGACACATACATAAAAGAACAGACAGGCACACATACACACAGGCAGACACATACAGACAGACACACACAGACAGACATACACACACACAAGATGCACATACATACATACAAACAGACAAGCATACAGGCAGACACACACACAGACAGACATACATACACAGACAGACACACACACACAAACACATACATACAAACAGGCAAACACACCCAGAGAGAGACACACATACATACATACAGACACACACATACAGACACACATACAGACACACACACATACATACAAACACACATACACAATGTTTAAGTCACCCTCCTGTTTCCTACCTTTTAGGTGCAGGAGGGTGACTTTCCCTGGGGTCCAGTGGTGGCTCAGGTGGATGGGAGTCAGAGTTCTTACTCTGACTCCCTCTGCTTCCTCCCGCGCGGGCTCAGTGTTAGCTGGGAGGAGCGACGTGCGGTCACTTCCTCCTAGCTTGTGATGATCTCATCATAGGGGGCCCAGTCACCCTGTTAGAGCGCCCAGCGCTGACCGGGCCCTCTGACAATCTATCTCCATTGGGTGGCCTTGACAGCATGGGCCACCCAATGGACCCCTTGGACGGCGGCCCTGGTGGCTTGCCGCCTGGGCCGGGGCCGCAGAAGATGATGGCGGCGGATACCCGGTCACAGGAGTCCGCAGGGCGGCTGGGCCCCCTGGAGTGGCGGGCCCGGTTGCAGCTGCGACCCCTGCGTCCGCGGTATGTACGCTGCTGCCTCCACTTCATTCTGGACACCACATCATAAGGCTTTGGTACCTGGGCCTGGAAGGAAACTTTGGACCTTCTCATCTCCCCAGGTAAAAAACATAACAGTTTTAATGTGTTCACTTTTATTTACTGAGTGTCAGAAAACACAGGGCCGCTGGGTAGGGGTGCCGCTGATTGGCTACACCGTTCAGCTGGCAATCTAAGCCAATCAGTAGCTCCTCATTCATAAAAACGTAAAAAGTTTTTAGGAGGATACATAAACAGAAGCTAGGAACCAAGGACTTTCATTACACTGATCCGGCTCAGAAAGCCACATCTAGTGGTGAAACACGTACCGGTATATTTTGTATGGACATTGTTCCCTATTTTATTTGTGTATTTTTTAACAAGATTTAATAAATGTATACAAGCTTTTATTTGGTTCCTGGCTTTTAAAGATACCTGCTAAAAAAGGGGGAGTGTAGCCCTATATCTACACAACATGCTACTACAGAGCCACAGGGGCTCTGTGCTTGTAAGTACTCAATTGGCACTGATTTTACACACTCCTTCACCTAACTGTACTACCCTATTGTGTGTCTATATAATTTCTCTCAGGATGATACATTCTAAATAGGGGTGGTTCGCCTAAACGGACCCAGAAGCTATCAACACTGGAGCTAGGTTTTATAGCTCTTTGTTTGTGAGTGTTTTATTCATAGACTTTATTTCACTGTACCACCTTTCTTATTTATAAGCTGCACTATGTGGTATTGTTTGTTCCTCTAGGTTCATGAAATTGTAACCCTATAACAAACCACCATAACTACTGTTGTTAAGATAATCTTTCGTATTTAAGAGCGCTACACTTCTGAAATATTTTTGTCTCTTCTTAACCCCTTAAGGACACATGACATGTGTGACATGTCATGATTCCCTTTAATGCCAGAAGTTTGGTCCTTAAGGGGTTAAATACGCCAAGTCTTCCATAATATGTATATGTAACTGTGACAAACTGAACCTTGTCACTGGTTCTTGGAGGAACCTGCTGGCCAGCCTCTTACCCTGTGACTATGGCCCGTGCAATAGACCTGGCTAAAATACTTTAAAAGGCTCTGTTCATGTGAAGTATGTACTCTTGTACTCCAGACAGAGAGACTGACCGTTAGAACTAATTCTCTGGAACTGTTTTGGGCACGGGACCATGTGCATGGTCGGTCAAAAATAAGACATCCAGGCAGGGCCGGACTGGGGATACAAAGCAGCCCTGGAAAAATAAAATCTATGCCAGCCCCATAAGTCATTGAGCCTCGTATTGTCACATGTAATACGTACGGGTATGTCTTGCCTCCCCAGATGATTGAGTCATATATAAATACATATATTATCTGTCTTGCCACCCCAGATGATATATATATATATATATATATATAAAATATATGACTCAATCATCTGGGGTGGCAAGACATAGCCCCTTACATATTATTGGTCAATATATATATATATATATATATATATTTGTTTTTTCTAATATAAAATATTCCTTTCAGAGTCAAACATTTAATTATACAGTAAACATACTCACATGCAGATACAGACAATCTCACTGACATACGCAAGCTCATTGATACACAGTGTCATAGACAAACATACTCACTGATATATATAAGCTCATTGACATAAATACACAAGTATACAGATGCACACAAATAGGCTCACTGACAGACAATCTCACTGACATGCACAGACAAGCTTATTGGCATACACACACACAAATGTAGTACAGACAAACTCTGACACGCACAAGCTTACTACAAACAAGCTCACACACACACACACACAAGCTCACTCACTAGAATGCACACACACACACACACACACACAAGCTCACTCACTAGCAGGCACACACACAAGCTCTCTCACTAGCAGACACATACACACAGACAAGCTCACTCACTAGCAGGCACACACACACATACACAAGCTCTCTCACTAGCAGGCACACACACACACACAAGCTCACTCACTAGCCGGCACACACACACACACACACAGACAGGGCTGGTGCCACCGTTAGGTGAACTAGGCATTCGCCTAGGGCGCCGGCCTGCTGGTGTGCCCACTGGGAATTTCCTGGTGGGCTGACTCTGTTTTGGGCCGCAGCGCTGGGCGTGCGTCTCTAGAGCCACCCCCCTCAGCACCGGGCCGCTCCTCCAGGCACCCGAAGGTGGGGGCGCCTGGAAAAGCCCTGTCACAGTATGGCATAGCAGGCACCTTCTTACCTTGATGACAGGTGCCTGCTCTGCCATCAAATTCCGGTGACCGGAGGAGAGGGGGGAAGGAGAAGGCGGCGAGGGAGGCTGTTCTTGCAGCCTCTCACTCCTCCCTCACGCGCCCTCTGTGATGCCGTGAGCTGGAATATGACGTCATTCCGGCCCCAGCATACTAAACGGCTGGCGGGAGGAGTGAGGAGCTGCACCACACTGGATCCTAGGGAGGTGAGCGTTTAAGTGTTTTGTCAGTGTGTGTGCATGTGTGTCACTGAGTGTCTGCCTGTGTATGTGTGTGTGTGTCAGTGAGTGAGTGTATGTCTGTCACTGAGTGTCTGCCTGTCTGTGTGTGTTTCTGTCTCTCAGTGAATGAGTATATGTCTGTCAGTGAGTGTGTCTGTGAGTGAGTGTATATCTGTCAGTGAGTGTGTGTCAGTGACTGAGTGGAGTGTATGTCTGTCAGTGAGTGTCTGTGTGAGTGTGTGTGTCAGTGAGTGAATGTGTCAGTGAGTGTGTGTATGTCACAGTAAGTGTCTGTGTGTGTGTGTTTGTCTGTCATTGAGTGAGTGTGTGTCAGTGAGTGAGTGTGTATGTCTGTCAGTGAGTGTCTGTGTGTGTGTGTGTTTGTCCGTGATTGGGTGTCTGTCGGTGAGCTTCTGTGTGTGTGTGTCAATAAGTGAGTGTATGTGTGACAGCGTGTGTGTGTCTGTCAGTGAGTGACATGAAGGGGCGGCAAAATGGATCTTTGCCTAGGACGGCAGAAATCCTTGCACCGGCCCTGCACACAGACAAGCTCACTCACTAGCAGGCATACACACACACACAAGCTCATTTACACACACACACAAGCAGGCACACACACACACAGAGACAAGCTTACTCACTAGCAGGCGCGCACACACACAGACAAGCTCACTCGCTAGCAGGCACACATGCACACACACACAGACAAGCTCACTCGCTAGCAGGCACACACACACACACAGACAAGTTCACTCACTAGCAGGCAAACACACACACACACACACAGACAAGCTCACTCACTAGCAGACACACACACAGACAAGCTCACTCACTAGCAGGCACACACACACAGACAAGCTCACTCACTAGCAAGCACACACAAGCTCACTCACTAGCAGGCACACACACACACACACAGACAAGCTTACTCACTAGCAGACACACACACACACAAACACAGACAAGCTCACTCGCTAGCAGGCACACACACACACAGACAAGCTCACTCACTAGCAGGCACACGCATAGACAAGCTCACTCACTAGAAGGCACACACACAGACAAGCTCACTCACTAGCAGGCACACACACACACACAGACAAGCTCACTCACTAGCAGGCACACACACACACACACAGACAAGCTCACATACTAGCAGGCACACACACACACACACACAGACAAGTTCACTCACTAGCAGACACAGACACACACACAATCACTGTCATGGCTGAAGCTTACCTGGTAGGTGAAGTTTCCCTTTTGTAGCCTCTTCCTTCCGGTGAGAAACATGTAGGGGCGGGGCTTGCGAGATGGAGGCGGAGATATGTTCAGGAGGTGGGGCTTGTGTGCGGAGGCGGGGCATGCGGCCGAAATTAAGGTAAATGGTGCTGGGAGATTGACAGACCGGCCCCAGGTGCCGAGGCCCACCGGGGATTTTCCCGGTATCCCGGTGGGCCAGTCCGGCCCTGCATCCAGGAAATTTTATGTATTTTTAGGGTACTTTTTTTTCTGTGCTTGGAGATAATTCTATTAGAATTAGTACAATCACTAATCCAATTATCTCCCAAGCAGAGGGGAGGGATTGTGTGCTGTGTGTTGGAGTGTTATGTCTTGTAAACTTATTGTTATTGGTCTGTGAAATTGCAAATCAGTCCCCAACAAGGTCCATGTGGGCGTACCCCTTGCATGGAGATTGTCTTATAAGGCTAAGTGTGGCTCCCATTAAAGAGAGATTCGTTTACCCCTTCATGAAGTCTTGGCGCATGTTTAGGGGATTGGAGAATACTCCCTTGAGTATGATCACTAGCTCTTATAAATGCTGGTCCTGCTACGCTCTCTGGACTAGTAGAGGTCTACCCAAAAGAAGCTGGGTCTAGGGTGGGTGGAGTACAGAGAATGAAGCCGGATTGTATCCCAGTTTAGATAGTAATGATCTGACATGTGCCGTGAATTTAGCCGTGATGAGCGGGTGCCCTTGTAGTGTTAAGAGCGGAAAGTCTGGTAAGTGCGCGTGATGGGTTGACCGGAGGTGGTCTAACGCCTTGACCGGACACCAAGCGTTATCGGTAGGAAAGAGAGGAATGATGGTGGGGTGTTGTGAGTGATTAGTTTTAGTTGATGGGAGTGTGAGTACGTTGTGATCTTCTACCTTAGTGAGGTGTGAAGCTTTGAGGCTGTGCGTGATATCCCCTTGGCAAACAACGGTGAACTCTCTGGGTCTGAGAAAACCGTAAAAAGCAAGATAGATAGCAGATTTAATCACCAGGTTTGTGTTGGGATCGAACAGGGATTCGTCAATGAGATTGTTGAGTGCTCTAAAGATAGGCCCATCTATAGGCAGTCTTGTGGTGGTGAGTGGAACGGAAACCTTTAATATACCTTTCAAGACCTTTTTAATGGGATATGATGACAAGAAGGAGGGGTATTGTTAGGAAAATTGGTGAGGCTGTGGTGCTGAACCCGGGTCAAGTAAAGTTTAATGTGTTGTGAGCAAGTTTAAGATGTAAGTGGCAGAAGGAGGCAAAAGCCACCATGGTTTGTGTAGAAAAATCACCTTGTAAACCGAATTCTGCAGTGAATTTATTAAAAATGGTAAGTGCTCTATTGTAGGAGATAGCTGTGTTACGTGATAGTGGTTGGTGAGTGAGAGTCCTAGTGTGGTGCATTAGTGTGCTCAATCCAGGATTAGTTTGTGAAATCGTGGTGTCCTGGATGGCTGGAGGTGAGCCGTAGGGAGTGCCTGGAAGAATACCTGGAATTGAGAGCGAGAAAGAGCGTCAGCGGCCGTGTTGTGGATACCTGGGATGTGAAAACAAACTAAGTGAAACTGGATGGTTGCTGCCAGCCAGGTCAGCTTGCGAATCAGCCGCATGATGGTAAGGGAAGATGAGCGCCCCTTGTTTATGATATCGCAAGCCGCCGAGTTGTCAGAATAGCATTTTACTGCCTTGCCGGACCAGAGATGACGCCAGGTGTGTGCGCCCACCACAATGGGATAAATTTCGAATAGGGCTGAGGTCTCCCTGAATCCTGGCAAGGTATCCGTCTCAGCGGGCCAGTGACCCCTGAACCAGTGGTTCCCGAAGATGGCTGCGAAACCAGTGTTTGCTGCAGCGTCTGTGTGAATGATGGATGAAGAAATGGAGAGAGGGGGTATAAACATGGAGATACCGTTCCAATCTGCCATAAACATCCCCCGCATAGCTAAGTCAGCCTTGGCGTGGGGGTCCAATGAAACTGGGCAGGAGTCCGGTATATAAGCCTGGATATAAATGACCTTCCCTGCAGAATGATGCGCATGGTGAAGTTAAGGGATCCCAGATGGGACTGAAGTTCTCTTTTGGTGCATACGTCACTCCGCAGGAACATGTCTATCTCCCCTCTCAAGCGGATCAGTTTGTTGTGGGGAAGGCTAGCTCGGTGGGTAACAGAGTCCAGCTCTATCCCCAAAAAAGTTTTGTTGTGGGGCAGATAGTTTTTGATGGGGATAATGGTACACCAAGTGTGGAGAAAAGTGCTGAAGTACTGTGGATAGCGGTGGGTGTTTGTGCCCCTGGTTCTATCAGTAAGAAGTCGTCTAAGTAATGGATGACAGAGTGACATCTGAGGAGGTTCAAAAGCAGCCAGCAAAGAGTCTCAGCGAAAATATCGAACAGTTTGGGGCTGCTTCGAGAACCGAAAGGGAGTCGTGTTGAAAAGTAGTACTTTTCTCGCCATTTAACACCGTGCAAATGCCAGAGAGAGGGGTGCATGGGTAGTAATTTGAAAGCAATTGTGATGTCCGTTTTGCTGAGCCAGGGGCGACTACCAGTTGAGATAAAGGATTGTATGGCGTCGTCAATTTTTACGTACTGAAGTGAGAATTCTTCTGCGGGTATGAGTGCGTTAATGCTGGGAACAAAAGAGGAGTGCGGTGCCGATGAATCAATAATTAGCTGTTTTTTATTAGAATATTTGTGAACTGCGATACCGATGGGATTAGTGCGCCATGAGGAAAACGGTGAGGAGGTGAAGGGGCCGATCATGAAACTGCTTGAAACTTCGAAGGAAAGGAGAGGGTCTGTGGAAACTGGATCTTGGCATGCTGACAAGAGGTTGGGACACTCCAGTGTGCCTGAGTGGATGGCTACAAGACCCGTGAAGAAACCCTGTGTGAACCCCTTAGTCAAATACTCCACCAGATGTCTGCTAGGGTGTGTACTTAAGTAAAAAGACAGGTTGTCAACATTGATGTCGGTTAGTCACTTGTTAGGGAACAACCTGGCCGGGCACATGGTCTTGGTATGTGTCCTAAAGAATATGGAGCAGATGTGCAACAATCTACAGGCGCTGAAACTGCAGGAGCCTGCGTTGAAATTATTGCACACCTGAGCTTTACCTAAAAAGGAAATGGGCCTCCCCAGCTTATCCCGCTGACCACCCGCTGATTTACTGTGAGGGGTGAAAGTGGGATGAGAGGTGGGAGTGGAGTTGGTAGGATGGGCTTTGGAAGGGCATAAGTCTACCGTATGAGATGTAGAATTACATACGGCACAAGACGGGGGCCTGAGACCAGCGAAGTGGCGACAGAATAATTCTGTATCCATCTGACACCAGTTAATTCTGACATTAGATGGGTCGCCGCCTTCGCTGATACCGACTTATGATAATCGTAAAAAGAGGAGCCCCCGTACTTGATGCCTAAATTCACCACCTTGTGGAGATAGAGGTCTAGCTCTTCTCTTCTGTGGGGATACACCGTGCAGATGACATCACGGTATATCCCGAAGGCTATCACAAGACTCTGGTCTGATGGGCGTAAATGGGATCTCTTCGGGCAATTCATCGATGGGAGCTGGTTCCTGAGACATTCTAAAATGAATTAGTGAATGAGATATTAGAAGGGGGTAGCAGAACCGGGAGGGATATGAGGGGGGTCTTTTAGATTAACTGGACTGTAATGCTAGTGCCGAAGCAAAAAACTTAACTGTGAATTGGTGATAGGTGAGGCCCTGCTAATGCCAAGTGGCGGTGAGAGGCTCTAACTATGACAAGTGAGGCCCTGACTGTAGCCCTGTAGAAGGGCGAGCGAGGGTCTAACTATGATTTGGGCTTGGGGCCGTACCTCTGTGTTGAGGTGGGAGATGGCCTCGCGGGACCGGATTTTACTTGGGTGAGCTAGGGGCCGGATCCTAGACCCTGTAAGCCAGTTCAACTTGTATCCTATGGGTTAAATGGTAATTCTGTTGCAATGTGTAGATACTAACCTTGAAGGTGGTTATAACCGGAGAACTTGAACCTTTGAGTGTTTTTTTTTTTTTTTTAAGTAGAGTGGCTTGGCCGCTGCTGGTATCGTAGAAGAAGCCTAGGGGTTAAGACAGATGTTGATGTGTTTGAGTGTAACATAGGGGCGTATGTTTAGTAGTGGGGGTTGGCTATAGGAGCGTAATATGAGATCCTGATGTGAGGGATCTAAATGATTAGTCTAAGATTGGGACGAGTTTACGTTGTAATGGAGGCTGATTGGGCCTTGCGGTAGCGAGTGCTATAACGAGTAAGAACGTAAGTACATGGTAGTGTAGCTGGGCACCAGGTTAGGTAGGTTGGGTAGTTTCTTGCTTGAAGGCAGTATGACCATAGGACCAAAAATTTAGAGAATTTAACACAACAAGGGCGTAGAACCATGAGCTAAACGTAATAAATAGAGACCGCGTAAGGTCTTGTATGAAATGTCCAGTGATGAGTAGAGAGCTATACCTTGATTTATTGCACAGGTACTTGGATGAGCTTTCGTGGTTTTTTACGGAGAAACCGGAGGAGGCCTAGAATAAGGGGAGGCCTAGAATAAAACTGAAGCTATGGATTGAACCCATCGAATATTTAACAATTAGCGAAGGCTGTGACAGTATGTTTAAATAACCAATTTATTCTATGGCAAGTTTAGAGTGCATGCTGCTTGAGGCCTTGACATGGTTGAAACTGAAGTGAGTAAATACTATACCTGGATTTGTAAATACAAGGACTTGAATTTGATAACTTTATACAGAAATACAAAGACAAACAAGGTGATCTGTGGAGCCAAAGAAATGTAACAGAGGCTAAATTAAATGACTGCGTAAACTAGGGAGAGACCATAGCGAAATAAAATGAAATTTAGGGTTTAACAGTATAACCCGAGAGGATCGTGTTATTAGTTAATATATGTTTGTAATGTTGTACAGGGTTGGCTGGGAGTTGAAGAATTCTGCCAATTTATTTTGGTGTCAGGGAGATTTCATTTAGTTGATTAATGAACCTCAAAACATAGTTTAATTAATTCCGTAGTTGTAGGAAAGATTAACCGAGTACTAAGATAAGATGACATAAACTGAGGTTTTAATATTTTAAACATAGTTAAATCGGGAAACACAGGTTTGTTGGTAAATGATTGAACTAATAAACTGATTTAATAACTCATACTGACTGGTGTAATACAAACAGTTAAATAACCGAACAGGCAGTATATACAAATATGTGTTTTATATAGTTCGTGTGCACGAAATGCTAATATTTGCATGAACAGGGATCGGTAGTTTTAGACCGTGCGGGAGACCTGTTTAAATTAAGTATAATGTGCATTCGTCTGATTCCGCACGAATAGGTTTATATCATGAATCAAGTAAGTATGCGAGGGGTGAACAGAATATTGCGCGAATCACTAAATGTCCGAACGGGTAAGTATATGTGAACATAGTTTGTTCGTATGCATGAATGGTATAACAAAATGATAACGAATTGCCCCAGAGTTTTACCCGAACGAGGGTCGGCAGTTTGGACCGTACGAAGGACCCATGAACCGTAAGTATAGCCGGCGTTCGACTAATTTAGTCGCGCGAACGCGGAGATGCACGGACAGGTAAGTATAAGTGAACAGGTAAGTATAAGTGAACAGGTAATGAAAAAGCAAAAGGGAGCCTACCCCTACGTTTTTAGGCCCAAATGGAGGGAAATAGCCGAACGCTATTTCCCTCACTAGCTTGCGTGAGCGTTCCGATCTCGTGACTGGAAGCCAAGTACCCCGACCGGGGAGAAGACGGGTGGCAGACTGCACAACGGCCAGAGAATTTCAGTGGACACTTCTGCTGCTGGAGACTGGAGCTGTTTGGCGGGAAGCTCGGACCGGAAGTGCTGGTTGCTAGGAGACAATCAAGCTTTATTGGCAGAGGTGAGTAGAGGCTGGGAGTTTATGTAGGGGACTTACTCCTCCCTCAAATTCAGGCCTAATGGCCTTTCTACATATATATTATTGGTATATTTATTTTTATTCAAAATATCAGTCCTTTAAGGGCTATACAGTAAAGCATCCTCACATGCAGACAGACAATCTCACTGATGCACACAAATAGGCTCATTGACAGACAATCTCAATGACACACACAAATTTAGTACAAACTCTGATACACACGCTCACTACAGACAAGCTTACTGATGCGCGCACACTCTCCCTACAGACAAGCCCATTGACACACACATGCTTCCTACAGAAGAGCTCACTAACACACAGGTTCACTACAGACAAGCTCACTGACACACACATGCTTACTACAGACAAGCTCACTGCGCACGCATGCTCACCACAGACAGGCTCAGACACAACAATGCTCCCTACAGACAAGCTCACTAACACACACACATGATCCCTACAGACAAGCTCACTAACACACACACATGATCCCTACAAACAATCTCACAGACACACATACAAGCTCACTCACTAGCAGGCACACACAGAAGCTCACTCACATGCACACACACAGAGGCAGACATCCACACACACAGGCACAGTCAGATAGCCACACACACACACACAGGCAGGCAGTCACACACGCTGACCTGCTTCTTAGCTCCACATCCCTTGAAGCTCCTGGAAACTGGTTGTTGGGGAAGCAGGGACTACTTGCTGCTTCCCATGCTGCAGTTACCCGGCTAATTTACCCCGCCGCAATATTGGGATTTTTTCTTTTAAAATCCTGGCCGGCCATGTGTGAGCTGTGTCGGCCGCATGGCGCCCCCTGTTCCCATGGCGCAGCTCGCACATGGGCGACCGGGATTATAGGAGCCTGATCAGTGATGATTAGGGCTGTCAGCCCAGCCCCAATCCACCAGGAAATTTTACAGTATCCCAGTGGTCCAGTCCGGCCCTGGATATACACAAACACGCACTCAGTGACATACAGAAACCTTGACACACAGATATACACACACATTCTCACTGACAAACACACATACAATTTATTTATTTTTTAATTTTACACCACCCAGCCTCCTTACCTTTGGGACTGCTGGCATGGAGTCTCTATGGCCCTGTGGGGCTTCTGAGCGGCTGGCATGCGGGCGAAGAGGGAGCAGTGATGTCCCTGCTTAACTCCCTCGTGTGACTCTTAGTGATGCTGGGCCGACATCATATTCCGTCTCCGGCATCACTGCTGTACATGCGAGGGAGCTGAGCAGGAAGATTACTGCCCACTGCAGCCAATTTGTTTTCAGAAATTTGTGACAACTTGTAATGTCTTATAACACCCTCAGACATATTTGTATAGCATGTTTTTGTTTAACTAAGACAATTAATTCAGGACAATATATAACTGTGCAGGACTGGCGCATCCTATAGGCTGCCGCTTAAGGGGCTGTGCTGGCAGCAGATTTACTGTTGTTTGGGCCGCCCCTCTATATGGCACCGGGTACTAGGGAGCACTTACATAGCTGCAGACTGGCACCCGGTGGCAGGCCCTGTGGCACGCAAAGATCACAGAGAGCTGCCCCCACCCATCTAAGAAGCTTGCAACACATGGGAGCATTGTTCCATTGCTCTGCCCTTTGCCCTATACACAGGGTCAAATGGGCGGGAGGCTGGTGGAGGCGGAGATGAGAGCGTGTGAAGGCAGCAAAGCGCAGTCCACAAGCCAAAAGAAGACAACCGAGGTATTGCAAATGGGGTATGTTCAATCTTTTTTTTTTTTTTCAATTTGACAATTTTTATTTTCAAATAAAATAAAGCTTGGGATACAGAAGAGAGAAGGGAGGGTAGGGTGGGACATCATATATTGTCATCATACAGTTTATCCGTTGCTATATGGTACAGTAGTGTACAATGACATGTTATACATTTTGTTCGTCTGGACTTGCCCTCTAGTATTGGGTTCTGGGACCTTCCTTGCTCCTTATCCTTGTAAGCGTGGCCCTACGGTCCCTAACGGAGTGGGCTCGAACTGCTTTGCAGCGATTTCAGTGTGTGCTTCTCATTTTGTGTTCTCCTTAGGTTATCAAAGTTCTAAGCCCTCCTTGTCTCCCCTCTAGTACCCCGGTGAGGGAGGGGAGTAGAATAGCTGGTTTGGGGGGGGGGAGGGGAAATAAAGGGGGGTTTGCGAGATCAGCGTGTTGCCCTCCTACCGGTTCTGTCCTCTTGTTGATTTTAATGTATTCCTCTCTATACCCTTGTATTACTATCTACTTTCTCGGTCCCCTCTGGTCTATAACCCTTGGTCTCCATCTTGTACGACTGGGGGCATATACCTGTTGTATTGCAAAGTCTCCTTGGGGGGGTCGCACTAGTAGTTTAGGGACTATTTGCTGTCCTCTTGTCTCGTGGGGGCATGTATGGCTTCCCAGCTAAGTTGAGATTCCTCAAATCTCTGGATGTTGCTGTAGGTTTTCCTCGCTACCGTTTCATATTGTATATTAGAGATCTGCTTTATTAGGACTCGTTTTGTCGGTGCTGTTATAGTTTTCCATTCTCTAGCTATGAGCGTCAGGGCTGCTATTAGTATGTAGAAGATCAATATTGCCCAACTCCCTTTGAACTGGCCTAAGTCCATAAATAGGAGGTACATTTCTGGGGTAATTGTGACACTGGTGTCTACAACCTCTTTAATAATGCTCTCTACCATCTCCCAGTAGGGACGGATCCCCTCGCACGTCCACCATACGTGGTACATCGTGCCCTCCGTCACCCCACATCTCCGCACTGTGCGGATGTTCCTGGGTATATTTTTGCCAGTCTGGCTGGCACCATGTACCATCTATAATACACTTTCCTCATTAATTCTAGGTGTGTTGTACACAATGTCTTCCCCTTGTGTGCGTTACTGCTTTTGCCCATTGGGTTTCATCGAATTGTTTTCCCATATCCATCTGCCAGGCCTCACTGAATCTGTCCAGATGTACCCACGTTTAGGAGCGAGCAGCACAGATATCCCTTTTGTCTGCTTTTGATTCAGACACATTCTCTCTAACCCTGTAAGTGTGCTCACCCCTTTCGCTGTGGGTGTTTGGGCCCCTAGCATTGATTTAATTTGTAGATACAGAAATATCAGTCTGGAGGGCAGTTCAGTCTTTTTTTTTTATAGCCACTTAGAAACATTGCCCAAAGTTAGCATTCATAATAGTTGTTTGCATTTTTAACAAATTTAAATGCTAAATTTGGCCAGTGTTTGTGACTAAGTGACTACTAAAAGACTGGACATACCCCATTTGCAATATCTTGGGTTGTCTACTATTGCAAATGGTATGCCATCATGGGGGTAAGTCTCATTCCTGGGCTACCATACGGGCTCAAAGGCAACGTAACCACTCAGGCAAATTTCAATGTGAAAAAATGGCATGCTATATTTGACCCTGCAACTTACCAAAACACCATAAAACCTGTACATATGGGGGGGTGGGTACTGTTTTACACATGAGACATCGCTGAATATAAATGGATATTTTATTGCAGTAAAAAAAAAAAAAATATATACAGTATTACGACATTCACATTTAAAATGTCACATAGAACTGAAATAAATTCTTGTTTTCTCCCATTTTTTAAAATATTTTATTTATATTAAATTGTTTCATACCTAAATATTTTATGGTAAATGAAAGCCGTTTCCCCTGAACATCATAAGTGTGGGTGCACTTAATATGAAAGGTGAATTACAGTTGAACAGTCAAATTCCAGGTTTTGATCACAATGTGTACATTTGGTCAGTCCTTAAGGGGGTTAATATGTAAATATTAACCAACTAAATTACATCACAATGCTGTGTGTGCACACAACAGGGGACTTGTTATTAAGTGGTTACCACATACTGTGGGACAGTGCCAAAGCTCTTCCAAACGGCCAAGGTGCCTGGACAGACAATACCAAGTTATAGTTCCACCACTCCTTTAGAGAAAGTGGAGCTTCTGCTGATAAGTTGTGTTAACCACTACTGCGTGCTCGCAGTAATGGTACCAAGAGCATCCTGGGTGTAAAACTGCTCTCCAATTGTTTAACTCCTAAGCGTGGGTGGGTTCTAGGTCCAAGACCATTAACCCCTTAAGGACACATGACGGAACTATGCCGTCACAATTCCCTTTTATTCCAGAAGTTGTATCCTTAAGGGGTTAAATTGACATTGGCTCATAGGAGACAAACACAGAACATCTGGGAAGGAAATATTTCAGAAAGTCTTTCATTTCATTATGTTGCCAACACCAAACAGACATCACCATTGGTGGTCTTTGCAAAGAGATTCACCGCCACTTACCTCCCTTTACTTCATGAACATGAGCCCTGGTCATTCTTCATTGCTAGTTGTGTGTGAAAGTCAAGCATATAGTAATCTAAAGAAACACCATAGTCCCTAGAACTGCAGCTTAATGTAGTGGTTCTGGTATCTATAGTCTGTCCTTGTTAAGAGAAAAAGCAGGGTTTACATTGCTGCCAAGGAAAACATGTGGTAGTCACTAAGCCTGCCACTAGAGGTGCTGCAAAATGTTTAGTCTCCATGCTGAACGTTGCCCATAGAGATGCATTATTTCAATGCACCTCCATGAGGAAATGCTGATTGGTGCAGTAGAGTTTTGCCGTGCCAATCCAATGCCTTCCTATGCGATGGCATTGGATTGGCAGAATTTCAATTTTGATGATCTCCATAAAGAAGGTGGAGTCCGCTGCAACCAGACCCACCCAGTGCTGTACAAGTCATTTTACTTTCCTGACAGGGAGCAGCCTATATAGCGATGATACAGTTGTGTCTGGAATACAGGTTTGTAATTCTGACACTTTAGTGATCCTTTATAGGACCACCAGTGCTGGTAATGTGTGACTGGGCCAACCTTGCCAGAGGCAAAAAAGTACACTACACTGTCTAAATACAAAAAAAAAAAGAAAAAAAAAGAACACTTTTGCAAATCCATCCCAAAGAAGATGTGCAATTATGCATTTTGCCAATGGGGTATATCCAAGGACAGCTTGCACAAGTTGCAGACCACTTGTCTGATGTCTTTCCAGGTACTCCCCTGCTAATCCACAATTTGTATCGGACCAACCAGACTTCCCAAGGCAGCTCTCTAAGCCATCATCTGCCTCAATTTTAACTCCACTGAGTCAACAAAAAAGTGCCAATGTCTATTAAGAGATGCCTTTTTTGTAAATAAGACATGGCAAAACAAGCACGTTCATGGCGATTAAGTGACATGAGTGCGTACAGCGTACCTCTAATGCGTTATTTATCATGTTGGCCATGGTGGGTTTTTTAGTCCTGACATTTTGAACTACAGTAAAGTGTTTAATGCTCCATTGTATGCACTGCATTTGTAGCATTGCTAAAATATGTGCATACATTTAACCCCTTAAGGACACATGACGTGTGACATATCATGATTCCCTTTTATTCCAGAAGTTTGGTCGTAAAATATTGCTACGTTATGACAAGTTTGGACAAATAGGAAAAAAAAAAAAGGCACAAATCCAAATCAACATAAGTTGTTAAACAGCAGGTGGATTCCTCAAGTTTGACAAGTGTTCCAGTTCATAAATGTAACATTTTGAATTTTAATGAGATAATTTTGTGAAAGCCAGTTTTTTATTAAACAAATCAAGAATTTGATAATTGAGCAGCTTCCATTATTTGTGCTCCCTTATCTGATGTGTTCTAGTCTCCAGGCATGTCCATGGATTCCCAGTTAAAAAAATAAAATAATTTGAAGAGTGTAATATGTACAACATTGTTACCCAGTAACCCAAACATACCTGAGTTGTTGCAAATCAATCAGCGACCAGTTTTTTTGGCTTGGAAAAAAATTGCTGCCAGCAATAGACGACAGGGGCCCACAGATCATAAAGAGATGAACAAAAAGCAATCACACAGTTTATGCTTTTTTAATTTTATTTTTCAAAACAAAGCCTTATTTGCCAATTGAAAGCCTACTTTAAATCCCATTTTAAAAATTAGATTACTAGTGGTGTTTCATTTAATCCCCCTTATCCCTTTACATTTACCATCTATTCGAGTTGTATCCTTCCCAGGAGATGGCTCCAGCGTGCCTCAGGTCTCCTCTTTTCTCTTAAAAAAGCCAAGGCTCCACTTGTCAACATTATTTTGTATGGTATTGCCAATTGAGGTGTATGGAGAAAAGAAAAAAAACTTCCATACGAATGCGGTTTAGATTTGGCAGGAATCCACTCCTATGATCCTTGTTTTATGATCCCGCTCCATGAATCCTGGTCATTCATCCTCCCTATCCTATTCATTCCTATGATTTGAATCCAATGATCCAGCTCCAGGATTGGGATCCAGTGAGCCCTCTCCAATCCAAACCTTAATAACCAGCAAAACCAAAAAGAGGAATAGTTAGATATTGTCAAAACACATGTCTGGGAAGTGAGCAGTTATGTGTGCAGTTTGAAGTATGCATAGATAACTATTCACTTTCCCAAAACAAAGATCTATTGAATGGTATGGCACAGTTTTTTTTAAATCATAGCTGCATGTTGAAGCGTGAAGCTGATTGGGGTTAAGTTATATACTTTGCATGTTGTAATGCACCTTAATGAAAAAGAGGGGGACGAGGCAACTTCAAAAGTGTTCGGTCTATCAAGATTTTTAAATTAGTCTTCCTTTGGCCAAATGTTAGCATGAGCACACAAGCCTTTCCACTATGCAGCTTTACTGGGATGCTGGATATAATGCATTTGCACAGTACTTTCTATTTAAGCCACCTGCTAGTTTAGGTGTTCAATGTATTCATTTTATGGCATACTAATATTGAATGAAACTAAACTGAGTGTGTACCAGACATGCCAAAACAAGGTATTCGTTATCAAACTTACATTTTATAGTGTCAGTGGTGTGTAGTTTAGATTGATAACCAAAAATGTTTTTTCTAACGTTATATAAAGTATATTTAGATTTTACTGAAAAGTACTGTATTCTACATTTAAATGTGCCAACGTCTAGAAGAACAAAACCCACATACTTATCAGGTGGAAACCAAATATAAAATTTAATATCAGATGCACTGCATGTATTAGAAAAAGTATTGTGCTAGCAGGAATATCTGTTTAGTCTTGCATAACATTTTGAGTCAACATTCATGGTAACTACAGAAACTTCTCTCCCACTGCTGGACTGCCTCATTACATTGTTCTTGTTATTAAAGTTATCACAAAGAATTTCAAGAGCAATTTCTTTTCTAGCTTAAGTCAGGTGGACGTCTGTGCCCATGCAAAAAGAGGTAAATTAAAAATAATTAAGTGAGCCAGCATCCAGGTGCAAGAAGGCTGAGGGGGCAGAGGGTCACTAAACCCCTCACATCTGCCTACAACATTAAATTTTAATTCTTACCAATAAAAGAAAACCAAAAAAAAAAAACCAATGCTTATACTAGTCAAAGAGGACATGCATGGTTAGCAGTATTGATATTATACTTTAAAGAGGCCCACAAGACATGCGGATGAAAGATGTAACCTCAAGTGGCAGGAATCTCAGTAATACGGCCTAACATGAATAAAGGAGCCTAGTACCACTGGTTTAATGAGTTCAATTAAGAATTCGTAGCATAAGGTCAATACTGCCATTTTGTCTGACAATAGCATTGGAGTCATACCATGGCCTCCATTTATGATCTGATCCTCCACAAGCCTCCTTTTGACAATCCTAAAATGTTTGAAATGTCCTCCACAATTCTTTAATCCATCTCTTCAGATATGTCTACAGAAAGACACATGAAAAGGCAAGGTAAAACAAAATTTCCCACAATATTCAACCATAGCCACCCCAGCGCTTTAGTGCCAAACACCATATCAGACAAAAAAAAAAAATTTATAAAATGGCTTCAGAGTGGCTACATTGAAGAATTCAATCTAACTTAAAATACAGTATCAAGCATGAGGAGAATGCATGTTAAGGAACAAATTGATACTACACAAGACACTTAAAGCAAACATGGTAAAAAAAAAGGGTGAAATATGGAATCAAACTGTATACAACAAGAAGGTATACAAAAAAAAAGAAAAAATGTATCACTTGATTATTTATGTGCGGGAGCGGGATCTGCTGTGACGGGGAGAGTAGCGAGGAGATCCACGGCTTCTTCTTGGAGAATAGCTTCGGCTACGACTATTGCTTCTACTACGGCTCCTGCTACGGCTGCGGCTGCGAGACCGCGATCTTCCGTAACTGGGGCTTCTTGGTCCATCAACCTTAACACGAATGTAGGCAGTTTCACCCTATTAAAGAAAAAGAACCTAGGATTGAACAAGCAAATCTTAACCAGTTATGCATTTTAGGCAACTAGATAAACCAGATTGGTTTCACAACAGTGATATTCTTACCTTAAGAAGTAAAAGTTAAAAAAAAAAAACTCACAATTTTCCACATATTGCAAATATGGATAAATACCTACCTCATGCGACCTAAATTTAGTGTTATCCAGTTTCCGCACTGCGTAGGTCATATCTTCTTTCCGCACAAATTCCACAACTCCGGTACCATCTCGGTAAACATCAGCATAACATACATCACCTGCCTCACGCATGTGATCCTTCAGATCCTGCCAACTTCCACTTGGAGGCAGCCCTATAAGATAAATATGGATATAAAATGTGATAAATATGTTAAATACATAGGGATGTTATCAGTAGTTCACAAATATCAATTTTCTTGCTTTACACAAAATAATTTTACATGTGCTAACCAATTTGCCCTATCCTCTAAAGGGAACTCTAAGCACTTTAACTTTGCATTGACAAGACACAGTAGGCTGGTTGGGTGCAAGGTATACTGAACTGTACATTGTATTAATAAATCCAGATTTAATTTTTATTTTTAAATCATTTATCTATAAGCAGCCTAGAGTACTCCAGCAGCTGGAACTGTAGCTTTTGGGTTGAAGAAAAGGAACAATGTAAGCACCATAACCATCATTCTAAGGTGGTTATAGTGCCAAGAGTGCCTTGGTGCAGTCTGCCGATAAGTAGCACACTTAAAACACACAACGGCACTTACAGTGAAAAACTTTTACAGCTTCCTTGCTTTGTTTTTTTACGGACAGCCTCTGATTTGAGTAGGGCTTATAATGTTTACTACTACATTACTAGCCAGACCTTGGTAAAAACGAAAATGTAAGTATATATTTAAAAAAATAAAAAATAAATAAAATAAAAGTAAAATGTGATGCTTCAGATTGAAAAAGCTACATTAAAACCCAGCTATTAATCAAGATTTTCCTAGCATCATGCCATGTTATCAAAAGCTGCCATCTAATCTGAAGTGTTTCACAATTTACTGTACTGCCATCCATTAGCATTTGTATAGAATTATGGCAACATTTATGGATACTGCTTCAATTAAAGCACTCACTTCCTGTGATTGCCTGTCCCTCCAGTCTAAATGTTATCTCCTTATGGATTGAGGCAGTTGTCCACATTGTGAACCAAAACAAAATCTTGAATTTGAGCTGTAGATGTATCCACCATAATTTAAGGGTTCCTTTAGCAAAATTACTTTCATTTAACATCCTACATGTACACACAACACATTACATTTAAAAAAAATATATAATTTGTTTGCAATTAGAAAGAACTTAAACAGATTCATAAAACAGTCCTGATTGTTAAATACCCAGTATACTTAGGATCTAAATTGACTTTTCAACTTTACAACCTTACCCAATGCGTACACTAGCTGTATCTCTACCGTAACCTTACACCTACCTTCGACCCCATTATTCCCGTCGTTTATATAGCGCCAACAGATTCTGTAGCGCTTACTATAAACCTACCCCAACAATAAGTAACCCTACTATACTCTCAGCCCTAAATCTAATCCTAAGGTAACCCACCGCTAATATGAATTCTGATATTAGATATGGGTTTTGCTGTATTTAACACAGTGGCGGTATGTTGCAACCACCTACTGGCCATTTTCAGAACACGTAGTTTTATTCTGAATGAGCCTAGTTCCCTGTCAAACACAGACTGGTGCTGGGAAGCTGGCAACTCCGCTCATCTGCTGGGGACAGGCTAAGACTGCCATGCTCTATTCTGAATCTGGTGGGTTCTCAAAGTTGCTTGCAACACAAAAAGCTTGCATCATTAACTTTCAAGGTCCCAAGGCAAGATTAACAGAGGTTTATGGGGGTAGATTATTATGTGAACATAATGGACTTAATTGGTGTTTTTTTTTACAGGATGTGATAAATATGCAGTTTAAAAATTAAGTTTGAGACTGTTTGATAAAGATTTTCACCGACATGCTCACCTGAAACAATTACTCTGTACTCCGAACGTCTAGATGGAGGGCCATATCTTCCACGAGGTGCCCCCCCACCACCACCACCACCACCGCCGCCTCCTCCTCCTCCTCCTCCTCCACCGCCGCCTCCACCACCACCACCTCTTCCTCCAGCCCCACGACCACTTCGTGGAAACTCCACACGGAGACGATAGCCATCATAATCATAACCATCTCTGCCATATACTGCATCCTCTGCATCTCTGAGTGATAAGGAAAAAAAAAAAAAATACAATCATTTTTATTTTCTAGTAGCAGAACGACTTGTAGAATTTGATAAATAAACTATTAAAAATAAAAGCGGAACAAATCAAAGTTTACTTTTTGTTAAGGTAGCAGCCTATACAAGACAGAATAAAAAAATATATACTATGCAGTCCTGTTTGTAGCAAATTGAACCGCAATTCTAAACCAAGTTTCCAAACATTGGTGGGGTAAGACCTTACAAATTATCAACTTCCTCAGTTGGGGTACTCTGATCATCATGCCTACCAAAAACATTTAATAACCACTTAAAGGTTTGCCAGTGAACGCTAAAGTGTAACTTATGTTTCATCAGGAAATGCAGACTTAACCCCTTAAGTACACATGACATGATTCCCTTTTATTCCAGAAGTTTGGTCCTTAATGGGTTAAGACAACCAGGGTGGTTATTTACTATAAATGATAAACCAAAGTGATTTTCAAGTTTAAAGGTCAAAATAGGCAAACTGGAAAATATCCATCCTTTGAATACATCTACTCTGGCTTTAAGTTTGTAGTTCACCACTATGTAATTGCATAAAAGGCGCTATAGCGAACGGTATTCTAATCGATTATATACTAAACACAAAGGAACAGAGTGCATTTAACAGCCAATGGAAGCAATCCAGAACAAAAATAAAAAACAGATGGGGGCAGTAAAGAGCCCTTACGGTAAGCATGCACGTGTTAATAATGGCTGCACATCTGGATCTCTTTAAACCACGATTTAAGGACACGTTAACGAGAATAAATGGCTTAGATGTACACACACCGAAATTACATATCCAAGGGAAATAAAACCGATGTTTACATTAACACTCGTAAAGTAACTGCAATTTAAGGCCCTTGGCACCACTAATACATTTAATTTCAGTTTTATAACCACATTTTTCATTGGTGAAATAATGATAATGACTAATTCCAGCCTCCACTGAGGAGGAGGAGGATTATTGCTGGTCAGAGAGTATAATGGTGCAGATGTCCCTACAATGAACAAAGCAGTGCCGATATCTCTCCATGAGATCGCACCGACCCACCCCCGCCATTAGGAGGCCGCCCGGATACCGAGCGAGCAGGGTTTACCTGGGATCCTCAAACTCCACGAAGGCGAATGGCGGCCCGCCTCTCCGGTTTTTGAGGTCAATGTCGCGGATGGCGCCATACTTGTAGAAGACGTCTTCTATGTCCTTGGTCCGGATATCGGGCGGCAGGTTCCCCACGTATATTCGGCAATCGTTATTGCCCGCCGGCCCCCTAATCACGCCTCCCCCTGACATCTCCAGCTTGAAGCCTTTTGTGTGAACGGGACCAGGAGAAAAAAGTAAAAAAGGTCACAGGACCGCGTGGAGCAGCTTCCACAGAGCGCGCGCCGATGGAGAAACGAACACAAAATGGCGGCGCTGCCTGCCTCTACACGGACGGCTCCTTCCGCTGCAGATAGAGAGCTCAGTTATTGTGACTTTCCACTGGCCCGGTGAGCGCACGTAAAGCCCGAACAGCCCTCCCGGATACACAGCACTACCGCAAGAAACCAATAAAGAGAAACCGCCGAGTATTTATAACACGAAACCTGATGGGACGAACCCGGACTGCTAGACGACGCCCACTGCATTAAACGACTGCAACGTCACTTCCGGTAGAGTGAAGTCGCCTTCCTATTGGCTGGTGTGGGAGGTTTTGAAGAAGTCAGAATGCAGCCATGCGCCGCGCTGGGTAACGGCTCGCACGCTCTTTGTATAGTTGGGAACTGGCCGCCATTTCCCATCTGTCTTTGTTTTAACCCTCCAATAGCAGAGCTCAATGAGAGTCAGTCTGCTGAGCCTTTATGGACCATCCCCCCCTAAAGGGAATGCAGCATGTTGTTATGATCTTTAGTGTTCTATGCCAATTCTTTGTACATACTGGGTTGGCACCTACATTTAAATTCCTAAACATGGGCTACAATGACTTTTCTGTTCCTAGGTTAGCTGGAGAATGTTTTCCAATTAAGTTATCTTTGTAATAATGAACATCTAATACTTAACAGAAAAACAAAATAATAAATCTAACCAATGGTGTAAAACAAATGTTTCTTTTAGTTACACACAGCCCAAAGATGATGCCCCTCTTTCAACCAAAAGTAGTAGAGCTCCTAGTTATTCACTAAGGCAGCTGTGCCCTAGTTCCACTGTACCTCCCTTGTATCACATTGGAGATACAACCTACCACACATCTAAGCTATCCCTACACTAGTTTATGCTACCACTAACAATACATGCTATGCAAAAATAAAATGTGAAACAAATAAAATAAATCCTGACACGTTTTGATGCTCCATAGCACCTTTTCAGAGTGTGTGCCAAAGGAATCCTTTGGGTTTATAAAGGAGTCCCAGTACCTCCTGACTCACAGCTAATCAATGAGGATCAATGCCAACTAGATCTTACTGTGGACCAATCTACCTACAGTCACTACCTTCTAATATATTCGAAAACTCAGAGAGAGGAGTAATAAGGTCCGCCCCTCCATCCTAGCCGTACCCCCTAGAGGGGGCTCACCTACAAACTTGGTCAAACTAAATGTTGGAATGTAACCATAGAGATCACTTGTCACTGTGGTGCATGCAAGACGACCAAAGACTTTGCATGACCTGGAGGCATTTTGCCAAGACGAATGGGCAGCTATACCACCTGCGAGAATTAGGGGCCTCATAGACAACTATTACAAAAGACTGCACGCTGTCATTGATGCTAAAGGGGGCAATACTCAGGATTAAGAACTAAAGGTATGGACACTTTTAACCCCTTAAGACCGGAGGGCGTACTATTACGCCCTATTCTAAGCGGCTCTAAACGCCGCCGGGCGTAATAGTACGCCCTCCGTTTTTTTCCTACTTACCCGATCGCCGGCGATCGCGGTTGGGGGGACTCCCAGGGAGCCCCCCGCGGCACGTCCGACCCCCTGGAAGCCCCCCGGCCATGTGAGAGTGGGATCCTTGCGAGGACCCCACAATCACATGGCCGGGGGTAGCTGACTGCAGCATTGCCAGCAGGGGGGCTGCCTATAATGACAGGTGGTCCCCCTGCTGGCTGAAAATAAAATTAAAAAGTGTAAAAAAAAAAATAATATATACTTAGATCATATATATATATATTATATATATATGATCTAAGTATATATATATACACATATACATACACACACGTACACTGTCTAGGTGTATTTTACTATTAATATATATATTAATATCAAATTACACGTAGACTGATACTGATTAAATATATATATAATTATTGTTATATATATATTTATATATATTATAAAAAAAATTAAAATGTAAATACGTTAAAAAATAAAATTATAAAAATAATTAAAAATAAATAATTAAAAATATATAGATGTGTGTTATTTCGTTCTAACTGTATTGTGAAATTAATATATATATATCAAAATACACGTAGAACGAAATAATATATATATCTATATACATAAATATATACGTATATATCACTATATATATATACCTATATATAAATAAAAATATTTTTTTAAAATTATATAGATATATACATATATATACACATACGTATATATATACATATATTAATTCTACATATATATTTATGTAATATTTTTACATAATTAAGTATCTTAATTAATTACAATTAGCGGGACCTGCCTGACAAACCATGCCAAAAGTAAAGGGAATTTAATTTGCTAGCACTATATTTAACCCTATAACTTTCCAAGACACCATAAAACCTGTACATGGGGGGTACTGTTCTACTCGGGAGACTTCGCTGAACACAAATATTAGTGTTTCAAAACAGTAAAATGTATTACAATGATGATATCGCCAGTAAAAGTGAAGTTTTTTGCATTTTTCACGCACAAACAGCACTTACACGGACGATATTATTGCTGCGATACTTTTTACTGTTTTGAAACACAAATATTTGTGTTCAGCGAAGTCTCCCGAGTACAACAGTACCCCTCATGTACAGGTTTTATGGTGTTTTCAAAAGTTACAGCGTCAAATATAAGGCTTGTGTTTCATTTTTTTCACATTAAAATTCGCCAGATTGGTTAGGTTGCCTTTGAGACCCTATGGTAGCCCAAGATTGAAAATTACTTATACGGATGGTTTGCAATTGGGTAGTATAAATTAGTAGAAACAGTTTTAAACAAACACTGGCCAAATTTTTCTCTTTTCACAAATACTAACGCTAACTTTGGCCAGTGTTTGTGACCAAATGGCTACTAAAAAAGACTGGACATACCCCATTTGCAATACCTTGGGTTGTCTACTATTGTAAATGGTATGCTATTATGGGTGTAAATTTCATCCCTGGGCTACTACAGGGAGTGCAGAATTATTAGGCAAATGAGTATTTTGACCACATCATCCTCTTTATGCATGTTGTCTTACTCCAAGCTGTATAGGCTCGAAAGCCTACTACCAATTAAGCATATTAGGTGATGTGCATCTCTGTAATGAGAAGGGGTGTGGTCTAATGACATCAACACCCTATATCAGGTGTGCATAATTATTAGGCAACTTCCTTTCTTTGGCAAAATGGGTCAAAAGAAGGACTTGACAGGCTCAGAAAAGTCAAAAATAGTGAGATATCTTGCAGAGGGATGCAGCACTCTTAAAATTGCAAAGCTTCTGAAGCGTGATCATCGAACAATCAAGCGTTTCATTCAAAATAGTCAACAGGGTCGCAAGAAGCGTGTGGAAAAACCAAGGCGCAAAATAACTGCCCATGAACTGAGAAAAGTCAAGCGTGCAGCTGCCACGATGCCACTTGCCACCAGTTTGGCCATATTTCAGAGCTGCAACATCACTGGAGTGCCCAAAAGCACAAGGTGTGCAATACTCAGAGACATGGCCAAGGTAAGAAAGGCTGAAAGACGACCACCACTGAACAAGACACACAAGCTGAAACGTCAAGACTGGGCCAAGAAATATCTCAAGACTGATTTTTCTAAGGTTTTATGGACTGATGAAATGAGAGTGAGTCTTGATGGGCCAGATGGATGGGCCCGTGGCTGGATTGGTAAAGGGCAGAGAGCTCCAGTCCGACTCAGACGCCAGCAAGGTGGAGGTGGAGTACTGGTTTGGGCTGGTATCATCAAAGATGAGCTTAGGGCCTTTTCGGGTTGAGGATGGAGTCAAGCTCAACTCCCAGTCCTACTGCCAGTTCCTGGAAGACACCTTCTTCAAGCAGTGGTACAGGAAGAAGTCTGCATCCTTCAAGAAAAACATGATTTTCATGCAGGACAATGCTCTATCACACGCGTCCAAGTACTCCACAGCGTGGCTGGCAAGAAAGGTATAAAAGAAGAAAATCTAATGACATGGCCTCCTTGTTCACCTGATCTGAACCCCATTGAGAACCTGTGGTCCATCATCAAATGTGAGATTTACAAGGAGGGAAAACAGTACACCTCTCTGAACAGTGTCTGGGAGGCTGTGGTTTCTGCTGCACGCAATGTTGATGGTGAACAGATCAAAACACTGACAGAATCCATGGATGGCAGGCTTTTGAGTGTCCTTGCAAAGAAAGGTGGCTATATTGGTCACTGATTTGTTTTTGTTTTGTTTTTGAATGTCAGAAATGTATATTTGTGAATGTTGAGATGTTATATTGGTTTCACTGGTAATAATAAATAATTGAAATGGGTATATATTTGTTTTTTGTTAAGTTGCCTAATAATTATGCACAGTAATAGTCACCTGCACACACAGATATCCCCCTAACATAGCTATAACTAAAAACAAACTAAAAACTACTTCCAAAAATATTCAGCTTTGATATTAATGAGTTTTTTGGGTTCATTGAGAACATAGTTGTTGTTCAATAATAAAATTATCCTCAAAAATACATTGCCTAAAATTCTGCACTCCTGTACTATAAGTCTCAGAACGTAACCAATCTGGCGAATTTCAATTTCAAATGTAACGTGCTATATTTGACCCTGTAACTTCCCAAAACGCCATAAAACCTGTACATAGGGGGTACTGTTTTACACGTGAGACTTTGCTGAATACAAATATGTGTATTTTATTGCAGTAAAAGCAAACAGTATTATGACATTGACCGTTAAAATGTCATGTAGAACTAAAAAAATCCAAAAAAAACGTATTTTCTCCCATTTTTTTCATATTAAATTATGTTTCATAGCTAAATATTTGATATTAAATGAAAGCCCTGTTTCCCTGAATAAAATGATATATAATAAGGGTGGGTGCATTTACTATGAAAGAGGTGAATTACGGTTGGACAGACATGTAGCGCAAATGCCAGGTTTTGTTTACATTTTGTTTCATTCACAACATGTACATTTGGCTCCGTCCTTAAACCCTTAAGGACCCAGGACGGTTCAGGACCGTCATCGGCATTTTTGCCTTGCCGACCGAGGACGGTCCTGAACCGTCCTAACGTCTTAGTTACTTACCTGATCGCCATCGTTCCCCCGGCGGCGATCAGTGTGGCTCCCGGTGTGGGGAGACTGCCTGCAGCCCAGACAGTCTCCCCACACTGGATTAGGACCCCTGTGGCCATGTGATCGCTTAACACAGCGATCACATGGTCACAATAGGTGTCCATGTGTCTGCCTGCAGGGGAACCGTCTGTGCTGACAGGCAGTCTCCCTGCTAGTGTAAAATCAAAAAAAAAAAAATTAAGTTAGTGTTAATTAAAAATAAAAAAATTTATATATGTGTATATATATATATATATGATATATAGACATGTCTATATATCATATATATAATGTCATACTAAGTGTATTTTTATATTAATATGTACTTATATTAATATAAAAATACACTTATAATTAAATTACACACGTGTATATATATAATATATAATAACTATATATATTGTATATATATATATATATTATAAAATATAAATAATAAGTAATTTAAATAAAATAATTTTTTTTAAAATAATAATAAAAATTTAAAAAAATATATATATCTAAATGAAATTTTATTCTAACTGTATTTTAAAATTAATATATATATATTTATATCAAAATACACTTAGAATGAATTTGTATATATATCTATGTATATATATAAATAAATAAAAATAATACAAAATATACATATGTCCATATACAAAATTACATAAACAATTATATAAATATGCACGTAGATTTCAAATATATAAATATGCATATATATTTAAATTCTACGTGCGTATTTATGTAATATTTTTACATAATTAAGTAATTTTATTGATTGCAATTTGAGGGACCTGCCTGCCAACCCAGGCCAAAAGTCCAGAGAATTTAATTTGCTAGCACTCTATTTTACCCTGTAACGTTCTACGACACCCTAAAACCTGTACATGGGGGGTACTGTTTTACTCAGGAGACTTAGCTGAACACAAATATTAGTGATTCAAAACAGTAAAACATATCACAGCGATGATATTGTCAGTGAAAGTGACTTTTTTTGCATTTTTCACACACACAAACAGCACTTTTACTGATGATATTGTTGTGATACATTTTCCAGTTTTTAAACACTAATATTTGTGTTCAGCGATGTCTCCCGAGTAAAACAGTACCCCCCATGTACAGGTTTTATAGCATTTTTGAAAGTTACAGGGTCAAATATATGGGTCAAATATTTTTACATTGAAAATGGCCAGGTTGGTTACATTGCCTTTGAGTAGCCCAGGAATGAGAATTACCCCCATGATGGCATACCATTTGCAAAAGAAGACAACCCAAGGTATTAGCGTTCAATTTCGTTTTTTTACTTTTTTCACACACAAACAAATATGAATGCTTACTTTGGCCAGTGTTTTCGACTAAGTGGCTACTAAAAAAGACTGGACATACCCCATATTGAATACCCTGGGTTGTCTACTTTAAAAAAAATATGTACATGTGGGGTGTTATTCAGAGATTTATGACAGATAATAGTGTTACAATGTCACTATTGATAAATTTTAAAAATGTATGTTTTGAAACCGCAATATCCTACTTGTACCTATAGTCCTATAACATGCAAAAAAAAAGCAAAAAAGCATGTAAATACTGGGTATTTTTAAACTCAGGACAAAATTTTGAATCTTTTTAACAGTTTTTTTCATTCACTTGTAGATGAGTAAAAGATTTTTCAAGTAAAAGTAAAAAAACATGTATTTTTTTCAATTTTATTCAATTTTTTTTTTTTTAAATTAAAATACATGAGATTATATAAATAATGGTATGTAAAGAAAGCCCCTTTTGTCCTGAAAAAAGAATATATAATTTGTATGGGAACAGTAAATGAGAGAGCGGAAAATTACAGCCAAACACAAACACCACAAAAGTGTAAAAATATGCCTGGTCGCAAATGTACATCGCAAAAACAGTCCAGTCCTTAAGGGGTTAAGGGGTTAAACAAGGGTCATTTCATTTTTTTAATTGTTGCCACACTTTGTTTTGTAATTGTGCCATTCTGTTATAACCTACAATTGAATATGAATCCCATAAGAAATCAAAGAAATGTGTTTTGCCTGCTCACTCATGTTTTCTTTAAAAATGGTACATATATCACCAATTCTTCAAGGGTATGCAAACTTTTGTGCACAACTGTAATAAGTGCACTTAAAATGAAAGAGGTAAGTTATGGTTGAACAGATATATAGTGCAAATCCAGGTTTTATTTTCATTAGAACTTGTACAATTGCCTCCGTCCTTAAAGGGACACCAGTGGCACCCAGACCACTTCAGCTCATTGAAGTCGTCTGGCTTCAGTGTCACTTTTGCAATTAATGCTGCAATGTTGAACATTGCAGTTCTAGAGAAACTGCAATGTTTACATTGCATCACTAAGTCTGCCTCACGCGGCTGTTTCCCCAAAAAACACTGGAGACGCTTCCTGCATCCAAACGGACCTTTGGTCTGGTATCTGATGCTGGAAAGCCTTACACTCTGCATGAGGACATCCAGCGTCAGATTTTTCCCCCCCATAGATAAGCACTGATTTAATGCTTTCCTATGGGGAGGTCTAATGTGCACGCGACATTTGCCAGGCAATTGCATGCGCTCGTCATGGGACGTCGGAAAGAGCGTTTTTAACCCTCTATTTACCGTGGAGGCAGGGGGAGAGATAGTGCCAGAAATACAGCTTTGTATTCCTGGCATTATAGTATCCCCTTAAAGGAACACAAAAGGGTCAGGAACACAAAGATGTATTCCTGACCCTATAGGTGGGTCAAATATGCAGCTTAGTTTGCCATAATGGATAAGAGGCCTGTCCAATAATGTGGGCAGTGTCTCCTGTCCAATTGAGAGATGGGAAAAACAATTAAAAAGATGATTGTTGGTTAGTGGACAGTCACTAAATTATAATTTAATTCACAAATCATGTGATAAGTGACCAATAGGAGGAAGGGGGATCACAAATCTACATATTCCCACGCAGGATTGATCAGACACTTTGCAGACAGACCACCAGTCCATACCATTGAGGTACCTGTGTGACAAATTGTGGACTGTGTAATGTTTCCTAAAGTAAAACATAATGTTACAGTAGTAGTAAATCCTCCAAACAGCAACCCATTTTTCAACTTGTATATTTTGGCTTGGTAAAGATGTGACTGTTTGCACAGGCAAGACTTGTACCTTCTTAGACTAAAACATATCCTGCTGTCTCAAGGACTCACTGCAGTTCCAGCTGTTTATGGTTTGAAAAATTGTGCGTGAATTTGAAAGTGCTCTTTTGTTATTGCAATTGCTCAAAACAGTACATCTCGCAGTTAAAGTCATGCTATAAAGGGAGCACGACTTTAACGCCTCTTTCTCGGTACAGACTTGGGTGCAAGCACTGCACAACACTCTAGGAACTTCAAAGTGTTCTAACCACTTAGAAACCCAAATGAAAGTGCTCCAATACCTGTTGCCGGAAATCTTCCTCCAGGACATCTATATGTCAGATATCAGGGGCCCAACCCGCATTGTGACATTTCACATTCTTACTGAAGCCAGATCTACTAATGCCTCCAAATGGAAACAAATAAAAGCAAAATAGTGTACACCGTGAATAGTGAATATGGAGTTTAAAATACAATAAAAAAATTAAAAACGCATTTCACCTAAACATAGGCTTTCTCAAAGTGTATACACTTTTGAGAAAGCCTATGTTTAGGTGAAATGCGTTAAGTGTTCTATATACGGTTTTATCTATTTCTTATCTTGTTATTTGTTTTTTATTGCTCTTAACATTAAAGTACTTTTTTATTGGACCTGCTTTTCCTGCTGCTGGATTTTTGGGCTCTATTCTTAAGCATATTGGATTGAGCAAATCGTACTTTGCTCTTAAGCATTTGAGTAGGTTTGTTATCTTTTTATTGTATTTTACACTCCATATTTACAGTGTACACTATTGTGGTTTTATTTGTTTTTTCCATATATATAAACCCACTGAAAAAGTTTGTCTACACCCATATCCTTTAGTGGGGATTATACCACTTCACATGCTGATTTTCAGCCATACTTACGGCTTCATTACATGTGAGTGTAAATTTTATATTTATACCTACCCTCGCTCCATAGTCCTAATATACTACACTATATACAATTTTTATCTATTTTATTTCTATGAGGATACCTCTTGCAAGCACAAATAAAAGAAGAATCAGCACTGCACTTTATCCTTAGGCGGGGATTGTTCCGCCCAGACGCATTAGTTGGAGCTGTATTGAAGCTCCCAAAAAGTGTGAGTGCTCATTTTTTATCATATATATACAAACTTATGTTTTACATACTACACTGTTAGTTTCTTCTTGTAATTACATACCCTGAAATAAGGATTTTTGAGGTGCTGCACCTACCTTCTGTGTTACCCAGTTTTTACTGGACAAGAGAGACTCCGTACTTGGTGCCATTGGACTATAATCATCTTACACAAGCGCTGAATTATAATTGTGTGTTATTGGAAATAAGATATTTGAGCAGTGACCTCACCGTGGGTACTTCCTTTCCCTCTTCCTTCCTCTCTTGCCTTTAAATTTCTTCTAGCTTCCCTATCTTTTCTAAATATTCTTTATTGTTTTCTCTGTATACATTCTCGACATTACAAGGCTGCCACTACCAGTGCTATTGTTAATAATTATACAAACAATACTTTAAATATCATAGGGAATAATGTGTATAGGAACCAAAGTGATTGTATTCACCAACAAGATAAACAATTACTAAGAAGAGCTCTCCTAATACATTATTATTGTCATAATAATTAATACTAGTCTGATCGAAAAGATCACCTGCCTAACAGGAAGTTCAATTTCACAATAAAGTGCGTTCGCAGGCACTTGTCTTGAATAGTTTTTGCTTGTTTATTATATATATATATATATATATATATATAACATTTTGGTAAATGCCAGATAATTGAGCAGTGAGACTTCAGATGCATGATCCATACACAAAAACTGCATCATTAAAAGGAAACTATAGTACCAGGAAAACAAAGTTGTTTTCCTGGCACCATTACTTCCTATAGTGCTCCCCTTCCTCATGCCCCTGCCCACTTACCGCCTGTGGAGCAGAAAGGGTTAAAAACAAAAATTCAGGCTCCAACTCTGCTCCTCTACCACCGACGTCAGCCAAAGATGAAGTGGCCTGGATGCCTATAGTGTCCCTTTAAGCGAATGTTGTTTTGGCGACTACAGTGTCCTTTTAAGTAGAATATAACAAACAAAAAAAGTACTTGTTACGCCAGCAGGCTTATAGAAAAAAGGAACTAAAGCCAAAGCCAGACTTGATATAGACAGGTATGTAGACAGATATAGATAACAGACAATAGATCATTACGTTTAGAGTTAAAGGGACACCATAGTCACCAAAACAGCTTTAGCTTAATTAGGCAGTTTTGGTGTGTAGATCATGCTTTTGCAGTCTCACTTCTCAACTTTCTGACATTTAGGAGTTAAATCACTTGGTATTTGCAGTCACAGGCACACCTCCCTGCTTGTGACTTGCACAACCTTCCTAAACACTTCCTGTAAAGACTCAGCTAATGTTTACACTGTGGTTGATATCAGTCCCTGAGGTTGCCCGAACCCATATTTTATTTTCCCGAACAATACCGTATTCACCGGTTCTGGAACAGAATAGAACTTGTGTATAAGCGAACGCACGTGGTTCAGTGCACGGCCGCCTTTTTGTCTCCTGAACACAGGCAGCGGTACGTCGAGTGCACAGAACTAATTTTGGCTACACGTTTCCGTCTTTTTGGGCTTCACCTCACGGTCAAATCTTCTTCCAAATGACGATTTCGTTTCACTGAACCGATCTGAGCGCTTTTTGGATATGTTGTGCACTCAGACCAGGGCTATTCAGGGATATTGGACTTGTGGGATTCCTGTACTATTTTCTTTTAGGGGTGATTTATAATATTACACCCTGTTCCAAATTATTATGCAAATTCTATTTAAGTGTCACCAGGGGCGTACCTAGAGCATTTGGCATCCGGCGCGGGTCCTATTTTTGGCCCCCCCATCCCGTTGCCCTCCCCCTCAACTTTAAATATAAAAGCAACAAATTTTCTTTTTTATGTATGTAGCACTAAGCAGTGTTTGTGTGTTTGAATGTATGCATGTTTTTGTATGGAGTATATGTGAGTGAATGTAGCGGTGTGTTTGTATGTAGTGTTGGCGTTTGAATGCAAGCATGCATTTGTGTGTTGTGTGGTATTTGAATGCAGTGGTATGGTTATATATAATGGTGGGGTTTGTATGTAGTGTTGACGTTGAAATGCATGAGTGTATTTGTGTGTAGTGTTGGCGAGATTTTTAGATGTCTGCACATATACACATACACGGACATACACACATGCAGATACATATACACACAAACACAGTCACACACAGATACACATTGACACACATGCAGACATCGTGGCGACATCGTGGCGACTCCAGTCACTGATGGCTGAAGGAGGAGGAGCCTGTCTACCATGCTCCCTCGCGGTTCCTGTGCACGAAGCTGCCACCCGGCCCGGCGGTTTCAGTCTGGAACACGGCCGGCCCCCTGCCTTCTCTAAGGTAAATTGGGGGGGGAGAGAGACAGGGAAAGGGGGTAGGGAAGGAGAGGGGAGAGACAGGGAAAGGGGAGGAGGGAGAGGGAGAGACAGGGAAAAGGGGAGGGAGAGAGGGGAGACACACAGGGAAAGGGGAGGGAGGGAGAGGGGAGAGACAGGGAAAGGGAGGGAGAGACAGGAAAGGGGGGAGGGAGGGAGAGGGGAGAGACAGGGAAAGGGTGGAGGGAGGGAGGGAGGGAGGGAGGGGGAGAGACACAGGGAAAGGGGAGAGGGAGGGAGAAGGGAAAGGAGGGAGAAGGGAGAGACACAGGGAAAGGGGGGAGGGAGGGAAAGACAGAGAGAGGGGAGAGACAGGGAAAAGGGGGAGGGAGGGAGAGGGGAGAGACAGGGAAAGGGGGAGGGAGGGAGAGGGGAGAGACAGGAAAAGGGGGAGGGAGGGAGGGAGGGAGGGAGGGAGAGGGGGAAAGACACGGGGAAAGGGGGGGAGGGAGGGAGAGGGGAAAGACACGGGGAAAGGGGGGGAGGGAGATGGGAGAGACAGGGAAAGGAAGGAGGGAGGGAGGGAGATGGGTGTTTATTTGATTCCTATTCAAGAGAATTACTTTATATATATAGTCAATATAGGCACAGAGTTAAATTTTTTAACATTTTCTAATGGTGGTGTGCCTCGTGATTTTTTTCATGAAACAAGTGTGCCTTTGCCCAAAAAAGGTTGAAAAACACTGCCATAGGGTAAGGTAAGATTTAGGCCATTAGCCGGGATTCTCCTGAATATTGAAATGACTGCTTAAACATGATGCTAAAGAATATCAAAATGAACAATGTAAAGCTCTCAGGCTCCTACATATATCATCCAACTCCCATGCTTTGGTATTCACTCTATGAAAATACCGCAGTCCTAAGATTAAGTCCGTTCCACCAGCTGCATCTAGAGTCCTCAAGCAGTGCCCACTGATCTGGCCATATGTAGCGCCATAATCAATGTCTCGATGGGATCTGTCAGTGCGGTCTTGATGCCGTTGATCCAAGGAACTCCAAATTTCTTGATATCCACAGCTGTCAGCCATTCCCATGTTATTTAAAAAAGATTATTTGATTAGAGGAATAGAAAAGTGTTTCCTGGTGGTTATTATGGAACCATGACACCCCCTCCAATAATTACATGTAGTTTATTAGATGTCTGTCGTTTGTTTAGGGGTGCAGTAGAGTTCTTGGAGCACCCCCTTTCATTAATATGAGGCCCACATTTTGGTTTAGTCTCCCCTTCACCACTCATTATGTCAGCAGGATTGGAAGGAGCTTAGTGCTCCCTGTTGGCTATTAGGGGGTCCTTGTGACCTACTCTGTTAATTGAATTTATTTTTATTTCCATCCATGAATACTGCTCTTTGTTCGATACTTCATGCTGAGTGTCACTTTGGGACACAGACCCATACATACAAATGCACATTATGTATAGGTAGATAATGTTTAATTACTCCTGTTTGAAGCCATTCATTTCATGATTCTGTACGCTTCCAGCTGTATGGCGTCTTTAAATAGTTGATAGATCTTTGTGATGCATACATAACCTGATAATCATAAGTGAATTGCATTCACAAATTCCATTTTTTAATTACATGGTCGCACAAAGTAAATTTAATTTTGACGATGCGTTCTGTTGGAGGTCGGAGACAAGTACAGTTTAGATATTGTCCTTATTTTATGTTCTATGTTGTACTAATTATCTTACTGTTACTGTCAGTATTTGCCTTGGTCATCAGTCAAACAGCTTGAAAAACAGTCTATCATTACATACAGAGCGCTACATTAACAAATGCCAATAGTCATTGAAATAAAAAATACCTAACAGTAAAACTGTGCGTTATGGTAAAATAATGCACTGAGGGGATGTGGAGATTGAATGACACTGATTCTCCTTTATGCATGCTACTCTGCTATGTTCATATTACACGTACTTGTAGAGCTATGGTGAGGATTGGGGTCAGGGTTTAATATTGAGGCCGAATCTGCCTGAGGCTGATGAGTGTTACATGCCTGTCTCCAGCTGCTGCAATACATTTATTTGTCTTCCAGCATTAACAAATGCATGTAAATAATATCTATATATATATATCTAC